CCGGCCAAAAAGTTGCCCGACCCCTAAGAGCGAATAATTCGTCCTTCCGTTAGCCGGCGGTTTCACCGAGGCCAATTTGCCTCTCCTCTTTTCGGTGGCAGCCGCCGCCGCCGCCTGGCTCCGCCGCTTAAAAAATTGATTATTAAAAATATTTGTCCCCGTTCGCCAGAAGCCCGCGTAATGGCTTTTTTGTTTGCAGCAATGTGTTCACACCCTGCTTCTCAACCAATCTGTCCCGCTCTGGTTTTGCTTAAAGCTCTGCAGCGATTGTGTTACAGTTGCTCTCCGGGCGGCTCGCTCCCCCCCGCTGCAGGATGTACCGTAAAACACAAAATGCATTTATTCACGATTTTCTAAATTGTTTCATTTCAGAGGTTTACAAACGAGGACCACCTGGCGGTTCATAAACACAAGCATGAGATGACATTGAAATTCGGCCCCGCTCGAACCGACTCAGTCATCATAGCAGGTATGTGGCGTTCAAGCCAGGCCAGCTCTGAAAATGGTGCACATTAATATAGCATGACTGCAAGATTAATACCGGGGACCAGATGCACTGAAAAACGTCTCTACCTCCCATAAAAAGCTCTTGTGATCTGCATTTAATCAGGAGGAAAGGAAAGCCAGAGGCTTCCAAGTTTCTATTTTTTTTCTTTTTTTATGGTAGTATCAGGTTTTGTGGGTTTCTTTCTTTTTTTTTTTTTTTTTTAGCTCTCACCCTTTTTATTAAGACTGGAAGATTTATGGACAAAAGGTCTTTCACGTTTCTGCATGTGCTTTGAGGACGATGAACAAAATCTGACAAACCCAGCTTCCTCTCCTCAGCCCAGGTGTCAATTTTCTTGAGCTTTTAGGCTAGCAGTTAATAAATTAAAATGCCATTGAGTGCACTGGCTACTGCCGAGAGTGCATTTGCAGAGCCCAAATGAGGCACTCTGGCAGCGCACAGTCAATGCAGCCTTTATAAAATTGGAGAAAAATGTATATTGTTGTCTGGCAGCAGGTCATTGCCAGTTACAGATATTCTCCTGCCTTGTTGATCCCCTTTCGTTTGGGCTTCTTGAAAGGGCACGAGGTTTGTGTTACCACCGAATGAAAAGGCTGTTGCGGAGAACGAGAAGAAAAGAGGAAATGCTTTCTTAAGCCTTGAGAGTTCATAAGGGGAGACTACTGTCCTGGTGCTTTGACGGCGAAGCGAGTGCTAAAAGGGCCCGGCACCCTTTCTCGAGATTCACCTCCGGCCCAAATTCAGTGTTGAACTAAGGAAATAGCAATGCAGTTTGTTCCTTAAAGCCGTTAAGTTAATTGCAGCTTTGGGTTGATCTTAAGAGAGCTTGTACAGCCTTTGCTGGAAGGGCGGAAAGCATCTCCCAAGGCAGATCTCCCAGAGATGAAACGGCCTTCCAAAGGGAGAGCAATTTTGTACGGGATCAGGCTAACGGGAGTCGAGGGTGAAGAATTTGGGGCCGAGGCTGAGAGAAGCCTCAGGTTCCTAAAGATCGTTTCTCCTTCACTTCACCGTGTTTCTAAATGGGATGCAGAGGGTGAGCGTTAGCTTTTGCTTGGTAAACCCAAAATATAAGCTGGCCAGGCGTTAACAAGGAAACAAAAATGGAGCACGGTCCAACCTCCGGGTAAGGTCTAACAGGGACACATGATTAAAAGGTCTCGTCTTTGCTGCTCCCGGAGGTGTATACTCCTCCTGGGTGGCACTTTGTGCGTCAACTGTCCCAGGTTAAAACACTGGGGGAATGAGACGCTTCGCTTTTAGCACAAGGCGCATCTCGCCCCTCTCTCCCGGTAGAGTGAGTGCCTCAGCTCCGCTGGGCTTTCACTGTGCTGGTGCTCAATGGGTTGCTCCAGGGTAAACCGCAAAGCTAAGAAACAAACCTATTTAGCTGTGGTCAGTGCAGGACCAGCCTGTTTAACACAAGCCTGCCCTGCCTGAGGACTCGATGGCAGATAAGGCTGCTAGGGGTTTTGTGAAGGCTAAAAAACACACTGGCTTTGAGCAGTGAGATCTAGGACATTACTGCCTTAAGTTCCTAATGTGCTTTTTTAAGCCACTATTTTGTCTCTGGGGTTTCATGTTCTCTCCCTCTCCCCTGTTTTGTGCTGGAGTCGAGAGAATTGGTCCCTGCGTTAAGGAGCAGGAAGGTTCAGCCTACATCCCTTGCCATAACTCCACGGTTAAGCTAAAGGGAGTTGTAAAGAATTGTTCTCTCTCTCTCTCTGCTTGTTCTTAGCTGGCAGCAGAGACACTTATTTAAAAGGAGAGGTGCACTGCTAGGGTGATGCTGTGGGCAGAAGAGTTGGTGCAATCCCCAGAGGGACGAATGAGAAACGGTAGGAGAGAGATGATACTGCTTTGGTTCCTGGCATTTGTGAAATCTTCAGCTGGAGTACTGGGCCCCAGGCTGGTGTGTGCTGCTTGGAAGAACGTTGGTAAATGGGGACTGGTTTGAAAAGAACCGTGAGAGTCATTAAAGCACTGGAAAACCAGCCTCCTGCGGAGATCTTTAGTTGACAAAGTTTCTTAGCTTAATGAAGAGAGGTTTGGGGCTCAGAGGAGGCCTTTACTTTATTAACAAAACCAATAGGTAGGGCTTGAAGTCGGACTAGAGGTAAAGCATCGTTCTGTAAATGCGTTGCGAAGTAATCGCTGGAATCGTTTCCCAAGGGTTGTGGGAGATGCTCCACCGCTGGCCGGTTTAAAATCAGAGAGATTTGTTTTCCTTAGACACTTCAGCCTGAACACGGCTACTGCACGCTGTACGGGGAGGATCTGTGCCAAGCAGCCTGTGTTTTATGCAGCAGGTCAGGCTAAACTCTCCCAGGGATCCCCTTTGTGCTTAAAAAACTATGAAATTTTCTGCCAGATGGATTCTCTCGGTGTAACGTGCTTGTACCGGGCTCCCGCTAATACCTGGACTCCTGACCTAACGTCACACAGAAAAACGAGCCTTGCCGGGAGCAGGGAGGTTGCTTTCTGGTTTATAGCCTGGGTGATGGCCAGAGAGATCATGACTCAATGTGTTAATATGGTGGGAAAACCGGCCCCAGAGGGACTGCTTTGGACAGTGGTGGTAATTATTAGCACTCCCACGTAGCCGTCTGTCCTAGGACGCACGTTAATGTACGCTCAGCAAGAGAAACAGGCGCAAAAAGGAAGCGGCTCTCCCCAGCTCTGTTGCGCGTCAGCCGTAGAGCTACTCCGTGTGGCCTTTTCCCCTCTGATCACTTCATATTTTTAAGATCTACTCTTTCAGGGATACTCCCCGGACTAAACCCCACTGTTTTGCTTCCTCGTGGCGGCCGCTCGGCTGTTCTCGGCCAGGCGAAACCCTGAGCGGGGAGGAACAGGACAGGACACAGCACACAGGCAGGAGTCTCACAGACATCACTGCACTGCTCTTGGTGCAACGACTTTGCTTTTAACCTTTCTATTTGTGGGAGAAACAAAAGCGACAAGACGTCCTTTTCCTCCTTCTGGCTTGCTTTTGCAAACGGGACACACATCTCCGTGGAAGAGCCTCCAGGCTTCTGCATAGCAGAGGCCACGTACGCGAGGAGTCCCAGGAGAGGGCTAAGGTGGTTAAAATGATTTCTCTAAGCTCCCTTTGACTGGTGATTGGTGTTGCACCCCAAACAGATCAGACTCCGACCCCGACGCGCTTCTTGAAGAACTGCGAAGAAGTGGGACTCTTCAATGAGCTGGCCAGCTCCTTTGAGCACGAGTTCAAGAAAGCCGCCGAGGATGACGAGAAAAAGGCAAGAGGCAAAGGCCACCGCTGCCGTAAAACTGAGCCACTCGCATACCGTGGGGGCTGGAGGGGGGACTGTGCTCTTCTGATGAAACACACATGTTGGAGGGTAACTAAGTGTGGGCTCGGATTTAATATGCTCGCTTACATGGGACTGTATTTTTGTAACCTGTGTGACTTTGGCTGCCTGGCCTGCAATCCAGGCCCCAGTTAGAGCGGATTTTAATGGTTTATTATTCCTTCGGCTTTTTGCTTCAAAGCTGAAAAAAGGCGGTACCCGAAATTTCTTACATCTCGGGAAAGAGGTGCAGGAGAGGGTTGAGACTCTGCTAACTGCTCAGGATTGGAGCAAAATTCACCCGGAGCCTCTTTGGGGATCGGGATCCTTAAAGCTATTACCTTTAAGGTGCGGTTGCAGCAGTCGCCTCCTGAATATGCCTCCTGCGCTCTCTGCAAAGCCAGGGAAGGGCCCGAGCTCACGCCGCGTGCCTGTAGCCTTTGAACGGTTGCAGTATGTGCAAATAAAGAGGGGGCTGCAGGCAGGAGCGAGGCATTTTCTAACAAGGAGCCCCCCTCATATACAAGCAGTATCAATTCACACTGCCCCTGCCAACCTCAGGAGTGCACAGGTCCGAAGGACACCAGGATCTCGTCATAGAGCAGCTAATTAAGGACATTATCCCCCCCCACCCGGCCCCGCTTCCAGGATCCAAGGAGCAGCAGATGCGCGTTGGGCTCTTAGACTGGCACATACATTTACTAAATTGATATATGTATGTACATACGCTCGCAGTCAGCGGCGCTGCTCGGAAATAAACTGCAGAAGCAGAGCCGCGTAAATCTTCGCCGAGATGGGGAACGGAGGAATTCAGAATTAAAACTGAAAACTGTCTTTCGCCCGCTCCCGTAATAACAGGGCTCTTTAAAGCATAAATTGATCTCTCTCATTGGTATGCTGCAGGGCCTTGTCGGGGCGGCGTGGCATTTTATGCTCTCGACTCGCCGCCTTTTGTTCTCTGCAGCCCAGACCCTGAGCGCTGCGCGAAGGTAGCTTTTAGTTTGTGGTTTCACATATAAATGGTTGAACAGCCCACAGTCTAGCCAGTCATTTTATATGTAAGACCACCCATATCCTGCGCTGTGCTGCCTAATAGCTACGGCTAAGATCCTTTAGGCTGTTGGACGTTTGGCTTTTTTTTTTTTGCTTTAGGATGTCTGCAGTCAGTATATTTCCACCATCAGCCAGGCGAGCACGGCAGG